TTGTCTTCAGCACAATAAAACAAACATATTTTTTTTAATTGGCATTTGAAATGACAAGCTTTATATTTTTCTAAAAAAATAATAGGTATATTTGTTTTTAAAATAATTTAATTAAACTCAGGTGTTAAAATTAAATTAAAGTCTGCCACAGTGTGATTAATGTTTTCATCATACACACTAATAGATTTTCAAATCAGCCACGCGACGATTATTGAATACATTAGAATAATAAAATCTATTCCACATTTCAATTTCTTCTTAGGGTTGAGCCAGAAGTTAATAGATAGAGGCTGGGTAGGAGCTGCAGGGTGGTCGCCGACAAAGCAGGTCTTGCTGTCACGTCATGTCGACATATATGCGATTTATGCATGACCCTGTATCAAAACATGCATTGCAATTAATCATGCATTCTTTTCTCCTGGGAGGCCTAGATATATCTATGCTATTGCCCACTCTGTCTCCTAAACATTATTCATAATTAATTATTTTTCGGAATACTATGTATAACAACAATCATACTTCTATAGTTATCATTCATATAAAATATCTAATTATACCAGATAAAATCGCAATCTTAAACTGATTAAATTGTTTAATTTGTCTATAAAGTAGAGGAAACAAAGGGTTTATTTCAGAAATTCTTCCAAATAGCAATTAAGAATTTCAAAAAATGGAAATTCTGCTACATATTTTTAATTTTAAAAATCAAGAACCTTTACGCTTCGTCGTAAACTTCTGTCCTTCTGTCCTACAGTATCTTCTAATAACACCCCACTTATCCCTGTTGAACAAATCCGTTACCTTGGACTCCACTTAGAGAAACGTCTAAGTTGGAATCCTCAAGCCAGACTGAAACGACAAGAAACCGCTCGACGTTCCCGACTACTCCAGCACTTACTAGATAAACGCTCTAGGCTCTCAGCCAGTTACAAAAGACTCATATACATGACCACAATAAGACCTATTTGGATTTACGGACTTTAGCTCTGGGGCTCCACTAAGCCATCGAATTCCTCTCGTATCCAATCCTTACATTCCAAAATCCTTCGTGAATCCTCAATGATTCTTAAGACCTTAATGTTCCATATGTTTCCGATTGGGCCCAATCCGGATATCTTTCCTTCCATAACAAACTTCAGAACTATCCAAACCCTCTCGTTTCTAACCTAGCTTCCTCTCCGATCCCTGACAATCCTCCGAGGTGTCTGAAAAGCAGATGGCCTCGAGATCTCCTTTTGTAAATACATTTTTAGAGTGCTACGAGTGGGTTGTTTCTCAACAAGTGGTTTCATGTTATTATATTGTTTTTTTCACATTTATTGAATGTATTTTTAATATTTGTATTTAGTATTTGTAATAGAGTTGTAAATATCATCAATTAATAATACAAATTCAATAAATCAGCAATCGATATATTTGTTGTAGAAAATCTTCTAACAAATCCTTCAATGTCTTTATTAATACCTAACTGATTTAAGAGAAAGGAGATGATCCGGGGTGGCGGTCATGAAGAGACTAAAATAGTGGACAAACCGACTTTGCAGGTCTTCTTCAGGGAGTTGCATTCAGCACTTTTATATAGTCTTTCTGTTATTTTAGTCCCTTTATGACTGCCACCCCGGACCACCTCCTGCCTCTAAAATACACAATGTTCGTCCATTACGTTTTCAATCTGACTGATTTAAGTTTCATCTGTCCAGGCATTAATATGAGTATTAATAGAATCTAATAAGAAAAAGATTTGGACGAGGGAAAGCAAAGCAGGACTTACGACAGTCGGCGGAATTTGTTGAGTAGCAAGTTTCAAACATAATTTTATTTTTAACCTATACTAAAAATATATGATGCTTCTACTTGATTATTTCAACCTTAATTCGCTTACAAAATTCTTTACTTTTATTAAATATGGGGGCAGGAGTGATATACGAGGGGGCGAAAATCCTCGTTGCGACTCTTATCAATCCTTAACTGATCAGAATAAATTATTATTAAAGTTGTGAGGTTATTATACTGTGACTATTCTCTTATTTGCTATTCCATCGTTGTTGTTTTTTCAATTTTAAAATTACCATATGCCATCGTTTGGTGGATGTCGTCTCCTCTGCATTAGAACGGGGAATGTACTGCACGGGATTCTTTGTCGATGTAGAACAGGCTTTTGATCGAGTCTGGAACCCGGGACAACTTTACAAACTCCGTAAATTCCTACATCCTACATAATTCCTCATTATCCGTTCCTATCTAACTGATAGATACTCCAAAGTCAATCACAATAATGTTTATTCATCCCTCTTTTCCCAGTCCGCTGGTGTTCCTCAAGGTAGTATCCTTGGTCCTATCCTTTACTCAGTTTACACAGCTGACATCCCAACCCATCCTAACACTGTTATTACCACGTATGCCGATGATACATGTGTCCTATCCGTTAATAATGACCCAACCATTGGATCCCAAACTCTTCAATCACACATCACAAGCCTTGAAGAATAGTGTCAAAACTGGAGGATTAAAATAAATACTAATAAATCCCATCAAATCATTTTTACCCTTCGACGTAACCTATGATCTCATGTCCCACAGTATCCTTTAATAATACCCCACTCATCATTGTTGAACGAATCCGATACCTTGGACTTCATTTGGACAAACGTCTAACTTGGAATCCTCATACCAGACTGAAACGACAAGAAACCGCTCGACGTTTCCGACTACTACAACACTTACTAGACAAACGCTCCAAGCTTCCAGTTAATTACAAAAGACTTATATACTACAATAAGACCTATTTGGACTTGCGGAGTTGCGCTTTGGGGCTCCACTAAACCATCGAATTCCTCTCGTATCCAATCCAAAATCCTTCGTGAAATCCTCAACGCTCCTTACTTTGTCACAAATAAAATCATACATAGACCTTAATGTTCCATATGTTTCCGATTTGGCCTAATCCAGATACCTATCCTTCCATAACAAACTCCAGAATCATCCTAATCCTCTCGTCTTAAACCTTGCTTCCTCTTCTATTCCTGATAACCCTTCGAGAAAAGAAGATGGCCTCGAAATCTCTTATTGTAAATACATTTTGTTTTTAGAGTGCTACCAGTTTCTCAACAAGTGATTTAATGTTATTATTTTCTGTTATAAAAAATTACTTAATGTATTTTATTTATTACTAAAGTTGTAAATATCATGAATAAATAAAAAATAAAAATAAAATATTACCATATTAAGAAACTATGAAAAAAAAATTCTTTTCATGAATTGAAACTCAAATAAATTCCAGTACTTGGTATACTTACAGAATAGGTACACAATTCCAATAGCCATTCAGTGAAATCCGGTGTTCCTCAAGGTAGAGACTTGAGTCCCATCCATTATAACCTCTTTACTGCTGATATTCCTATCAATACCGATAGTTCTCTGGCAACATTTGCTGATGGTATCGCCAGGATCCAACTCAGATCCTGAAATATGATCCTTGAATCTACAAAGGCATCTGTCCATGATTGAGCATTGGTGTAATGATTGGCGGATCAAAGTAAATGAATCTAAATGAAAAAAAATTCGCCTTTACCCTTCGACAAAGATCATGTCCCTCAACTCCACACCCTTTTCAGACACAGTCCGCTATGTTGGCTTCCTCTTGGATGAAAGGCAAACATGGAACCCACAAACCAGACCCAAAATACTAAAACTAAATCGATGATACGGCCAACTACGGGCTAGAAAATTTCAACTTTCAATTGAAAATAAACTAATAATCTAAAAGATTATCCTAAAACCCATCTGGACTTATGGACTAGAACTATAGGGGCCTGCTAAAGTCTCTAATATCAACCGCATCCAATCCTTCCAGTTCAAAGTTCTTAAGACAATAGTAAATGCCCCATTTTATGTAAGTAACAAAACCTCACACCATGGCCCATATATCCCATTTTCCATAGACTATATCTTAAAAATATTCTCACAATTTCATCAGAACCTTACGTATCAGCCAAATTCCCTAGTAAAATTTCTAGCTAGCAATATACATTCCTAACGTTTTCCTCGAAGGTAACTCCACGATCTTCTGTAATTGATATATATATATTGGTGTTTTGAAAATGACTAGTGTCTCCACTCAAGACTTGAGTGTATCAGGCTTTTTTTTTTTTTTTTTTTTTTTTTTTTTTTTTTTTTTTTTTTTTTTTTTCCTACCTGGCCATTTCTGGCATACGGGGTCGAGTGTATCAGGCTATAGCGATCACGCTCAATCTCTACTGCCTTTAGTATCAATGACGAGGATGGGAGGGCAGGAACCTCCAAAAGTTCTGTTTTTCCCTCCGCAGGTGTAAGCGGGTGTTCAGAATTCTCTTATCTGATTATAAACCTTGCTTATCTTTAAGTTTATTTTATTTTTATTACTATTAATTTATATTTTCTGTGAATATGGGGTGAATGCAGTCGTACCTATCTATATGCAATGTGCATATTATAACAGAATATTATATTATTCAATACATATTAAAAAAAATTAATTATAATTTATAAAAATAAATTAAATAAAACTTTACAAATCATTAAACACATTCATACTTAATTACAAATTACAGATCGAAAATTCTCCCCCAGTAGGTTAGATATTATCAGATCTATGAAATAAATTACTTATGTAATGGTATAGTCACAACTAACTAGGATTTTACGAAAATATATATAATTTTAAATTTCGCTCTACGAGATCTATGTTCTCTAAGAAAATCTCAACGAATCAATTTAAATATAAATTTGTATATTACCATTTATTAATAATCAAAGGTATAATATTTCGGTTGGTTTTCAAAAACAATTTCCTTGTTTGTAAGAGTCAATCAATGATGACCATTATATCATCCCGCCCCTGAGCCAGTCCTCAATCGGCGTCACGTTCCCCTCGTCAGTTGAATTAGCTGCCCGCCTACCTGCCGGTAACAAATCTATTTTTCCCCGATGGTTACGTGACTTGGACTTTTCTTGAGTAAGGGATGTGGCGACTGACGATGCACGCTGGCCCCTATAAATGGCGAGGACCCTTAGAGACAGAAGTTAGGCGGGTCGTGTAGTCCGTCACGCCGAGTCGGGATAACGGTGGTCATCTCCCGGTCACGGGGCTTTGTCTCCTACCGCCAATTGCCCCCGTACCTTCGGCGAATTATACTAACTATCCCTCATTTAGCAAATGATGCGCGTTTAGGGCATAATGGACGAGTTTTCAGAAGCCATACTTTTTTAATTACTTTTTTTACGGAATAATTTTTTTCTGGAAAGAAGAATTAATTTGGTATGCAAAATCTTTCAGAAGGAACTCTAAAATCATAGATCCTTTGCAATGTCAGGCTCTTACACTGTTTTAATAGTCATTATTATTGTAATCTAAGGTCAAAGAACTCTATTCAAAGAAAACAAGATATGAATGACTTGCAGTGCAAAAAATACTGAATTGGAGATGACTATATTAAACGAGCTACGAGAGATAACCTATATTTTTTATTCATATATTTAGAAATAATGTCGAGAATGATAACAATAACTATGTAAAAAAAAAATTAAAATAGGTCAATATTTTACTAACGAATTTTGATAGTGATCATATCGTTCAATTGAACTTTTATTCAAAATGTAATTTTAAATTTTTATTTTGTATTAACAAGAGGACCGGATATTACTAGAAGTTATAACATTCCTTCAATTTTGTAATTTATTCTTGCAAATATGGAAGGTAATTAGCCAAGGTTTATTATTGAAATCAATAATTAAGACCTTATGTATACAGGCTGTTTCAGGATTAAGTGGCCGAACTGAAATTATGATTTAAGGACCTCAAAACAATAAAAAAAATTCCTATGAAGGTATGTCAGCTAACGCATTGTTTAGGAGATATTAACACCTAAAAAATGTCATTGTTATGAATTATTTAGGTTATATTAAGTAAATAAATTGTATGTATTTGTTCCTACTACTTTATTAATTAAACGTAAACATTAAATCAATATTAAATTTTGTTCAAATTTCCTTGAGCATTAAGACAGGCTCGACATCTTTCTTCAACAGCATCAGTGGTAGAACGGTATTGGATATGTGTTATTGTTTCACAAGATTCAAATATACTTCTTAGGAAGGAATTAAGGTCATTGACCGGATTTGCATAGACTTTTTGTTTAATGTTACCCCAAACCAAAAAATTCACTGGTGTCAGGTCTGGAGAGTATAATGAGAAGACGTAATGATGAGTATTCTGCGAAATCCTCATATAAACTGATAAATGTTATTGAGAGTTCCCAATTCTAATTCCAAATAATATTAATCCTTATGTTGCCAATAGTTTTTTACAGTTAAGGATAAAAGGTCATCTTAGTATTTTATCTAATCCATCTCCTAAACAAAGAGTTTCCGGACATAGCTTCATTTTGAACAACATTTAATATAAATCTTAATGTTTACATTTAATTAATAAAATAGTTAGAACAAATAAATAAGTTTTATTTATGTCATATAAAGTAAATAATTCATAACAACGAAAATCTTTAGATGTGAATATCTCCTAAACAAAGCGTTTGCGGTCATAATTTTTTTAATCGCATACGTTTAATATATCAAATCATCTGGGATTTATTTTCTGATACACATTGAACAAATCTTTCTGCATTTATTTATTTATTTTCATTATTTATATTTATTTATTTATCGTATTATCAATGAATGGCTCATCATCACCTTTAAAAATAAAATTAAATCCACTTCTGTACGTAATCAAAGCATTAAAAATAATGCTTAACTCTTTAGAAAATAAGAATGGCTAAAAATTAAACTGAAAACTAATACAATGAAAATGGAAGATTCGAAACCGGTTGCGAGAGTAAAGTTTTATTTAAAATAAGGAACCATCTGTGATCCAAAACCTCAACCTCAATCTGTCATGTTTTATAAATGATTCAGGTAACTAACTTATTGTTTTTCTGTTATACAATTTATTTCTGATAAACATATAAAATTCAAAATGGATAGATCGAAGATAGATAAATTAATTAATAAAGCCTACTCACACTACAGTTCTAAAATATTTTCAGTTCTGACGATATGGCAGTTCTGGTCAAAATTCCCTTTTGTTTAAACCACAAATTGATCGATAACTGTGGTGCAAAAATCTGTAAGAATACTTTAATTAGTAAGTGCGGTTTTGTGCTTTTCTGGTTGATCTTGGTCTCTCAAAAATTCAGAAATACAAAGAAAAAGTGAGAAATAAAATGAAATATCTTTGTCACAGATGTTGCAAATCCCTTTATAACATAATAATTCATAAGTCATACTGAATAGCTATCGATTAATAAATATTGAACCAATTCTTAACCATTCAACTGAGAGCACACTATCGATTCAAGGCTCATACAATGCAAAAAATTCCCCTGTAATTTCTTCTTCTTCCAACAACCTTATAATAGTCGGATTTTTTTTATTTATTGTACAGTCGGAGCTAGTGTTACCCAAAATCGGTCTTGATCTTGAACTTTGCAAGGGCGCCTTACTGTTGCAAGACCAAGACCAGAACTGGAAAAAAAATCGATTTTTTAAATAAAAATTAAGGCAAAATAGTTACTAATATTTGATAATATTAGTTACTATATGTTAATAATTGGTATAACCAAAATACTTTTGCATTTAACTCCTCAAATTTATATTCGGGCAATCACAGTAATATCTCTATATTAATAATCTAAATTTAAAGTAACTGCCAGACTGTTATGAGACTCTTGATCAAGACCAAGACCATGACCAAGACTGAGTTTACAAGACCAGTCTTCTTCCAGTTCTTTCTTAATAGGAACGATGTTAGACGCAGTTGTCATAAAATACTTCTTCATGGAATTTTCATGTTTAAGGCATGTCTTTTTAATCCCCCTCTATCCTAAGTAAATGAAGTATAGCCGCAGTCCCATTATATTGTTATTATTTAGTAAACTTATGATAATCATTTTGACATGGTTTACATTTTTGTCCGGAGTTTAAATTGTTTTAATCTTAAAAACCAGACTGAACTATATCAAATAGTATTTTTTCCCCCTGAATATCATATTACCTTTCAAGTACACCGCTCAAAAAATTTATAAAGAAATTAAAAATTTTCGTATCCATTTTTGGTAATAAGCAGTGTTCTAATTCTCTTCTCTCTTAGTCTGTTAAGTCAATAATTTTAATAATATATATTATCATCTTAAACTGAATGGATAAGCGCTCTACCCTATGCAATTATAAGGTAAAACATAGGTAAGGGGGTTGTAAGTTTTTTTTTCTTCTATAATTTCTCTAGTTAAATATTAATTAATTTGCCTCTAATGATAGCCCAATTAACCGGGATAACTAACTACGAAATTGCGTAATGAGTATTACCTTTAGCCGAAGCGGCCTGTTATTAGAGGGAACGTTGTAAGGTTTCGTACTTGCTACTTAATTGCAGAGTACCCGACTAGCGAGAGATCTGCATAAATCAGAGCTAAGTACTTCGCTCTCATTTGAGCTACTCATCATCTTTTTTTCAACCGTCAGCTATTTCCTATCGTCTATAAGTAGTAATACTTCCTGGATAGTAAAAGGTTGAATGATGCAAGCTACGTTTTGGTTGCTAGTCTAAATTTCGTTTATTATCAGTAAGAAAAAAAAAAAAAAAAAAAAGAACCGAAATCAACTTAAAAATCTATAACTCCACTTAATAAAAAAAACATTTTTAGTTGATAATTAAGTTATGGTTTTGACAAGGAAGGAGATGTAAACTGATAAGTTAATGAGTATACCTTTCTCACCATTCCTGTTGAGTACGTAATTTCGATTCTTGACAAATCGATAATTTATTTTAAATTATAAAATATCAATTATTTTCATGTTATACAAGTGTTTTCATGTTACTACATTTACTGAATGTATTATTTCTTAAATATACAGTTGTAAATATCTTAAATAAATGATATAAAAAAATATCCATAAAATAGCTTCAGAATCGTATCTTTGGGAAGAAACATGCACTTCTGAAGGAAAATATATTTGAGTATAACTAAGCAAAAATAATGGATGGAACAACAACCCCCAAGGTCGATGGCTCATGAGCCTCATTCCTTCCCCTTCCAAATTTTTTTATTGCTTTCCTCTCCTTATAAACATTGCAAGCAAATGTTTATAACTAACTTAAAAATCGTAGCTCGAATGTTATACCAATTCCTGCGGTTTGTTCCTTGATTTCCCCTTGTGCCTTGGTTTGAACATTCCGAAAATTCATAACCTCGTCGAAATATGCTCCCTTTAAAAATTTCGATGGTGCAACTAGCGCCACCTATGGGCACTTAGAGTGCACTAATCCTAATAACTTAGAGCCAAATCACACAAGTCATTTAGATATATAATCATATTACAGTTTTATCATAAGTGGATTAACGGACATAGATGTTATATATGTTCTTCACGTGTACTTGACTCAATTAGACCTATATTCACCCAACAAAATTTGGTCATTGATGTAACAAAATGAGATTGAAAATATTTGTATAATATCATAAAAACATTTTAGGCTCTATACGAATACATTGCTCAAACCGTGAATGACTAAAATTTCCTGCTTAATGAACGTTCAATTTATTCACTTTTATTCCAAAACAGAAAACGACAAAATAGCTTTAAAAAATTATCTTACTTTGGACTGAATATAGAATGCTTTCTGCAGTGCACATATTTTTATTTTTTTTTTCTAAATTTTATTTGCGAATAACTCTAATTTATATTTACTCTAGCTGATGTGCCCATCGTCAACGGGTATATGGTTAACATTTGAGAATCGAAGTAACTGCTTAACCGGGATCTCTGAACAAATTACTCAAGAATTCATAAATTTTGTTCTACTCAATATTGTGTTTTTAATTAAAGCCTATATTTTAAGTCAAGCAATCCTAAAGATAATGTCAAAATTTCAAAAGTCTACCATTAGACATTGCCGACCTTACCCCTGACAAATTTTTGTTGGACGATGCGGACATCCAGACAAACAAAATTTTTTTTAAGAGTGGATTTGGTGTCTGCGATGTATAAAACGGAAATACATCATGAAACTGGTTGCTCCTATTCAATGTACAGACAACACCTTTATTTTATTTATATAGATGTTCTTTTACCTATAAACATATGTTTATTATTAAGATTTATTATCAACATTAAGCGAGATCTCTAGACAAATTACTCAAGAATCCATAACCTTGGTTATACTCAATATTTTGTTTTCATTTAAAGCAATTGGTGAACTTACCGCTGTCAAAATTTCGTTGCTATGCGGACATACCGACAGACAAAATATTTTTTAAAAGTGGATTTGGTGTCTGCAATGTATTAAACGGAAAAATATCATAAGACGGGTTGTTTCTATTCAATGTACAGACAAAATCTTTAATTTATTTAAATAGAGATTTCAAAAATAATTCAATTTTCATAAGCTACAAAAAGAAACTCATCGAAATCCAATCAGCATTAGCGTTGTGAGCCTGGTTTCAGTTTATTGTTAATTTTCAGGAACAATATTTCTTTTCACTCTATGGAAGATCGTCAATGGAAGGATGAGGTTTATTTTTAAGAGAATTATATATCATATAACCAAAACTAATTGTAATAAGAACATTTGTTGAAGTGTTTTAAACTACGATTGCATTATCTTGGAAATCCGACTTTCTGAAGACGCAATAGAGCAATTGTACATAACAAAACAAAATTGTCCAGATATGCGGAGATGGAGAAGGCTGATTGAGGCGGTCAAAGATCCACAAGGTCTGTAATTTCAACAGAAAAAAACAAACAATATTATTATGATAAAATAATCTGTCAACGATTTCTGATTTCCTCCAATATCAATCTGCAAACATTTCTTTTCGCTGGCTTTCGTTATGACTTTTTCTTACAATCCTGGCATCATTTGCAAGGCAATCTTTAGTTATACCTCATGGTGTTGTAAAATATATTAGTTACTACTCTCGTATAGTATCCGTAGAGAATCTTCCCTTGGTCGGATTTCGACTCGGGTACTCCAGCGAAGATCGGCAACGAGGAGCTGACGGTCGTGCAAGGCTCTGACCCCGACCACCCTATTTGGTCTTACCTCATTTTCGCGATTCGCAGCAGGTGTCTAGTTACAGGCCTTCTTATATCTCTCCGTATTACATTACTCCATCCTCGCTTTGTATCTCACCGACGACCGTACTCGCCATATACAGCCTACGTACGGCAAAGATGGCCAAGCATTGATATCTCATTTCGTTCCCGGCTCTGGTTTATGCACGTGTGGGATGTTTAGTGCTGTACCTTGCTATGCCGTGTTTCTTGAAACAAAGTGTTGTTTACGTTTTAAAACTTTAACTAGCACCTCACGTGTTTTAGCAGCTGTTATGATTGAACAAAATATGCTTGAAATTACTATTCCTTCAAAGCGAAACTTTCATTTACTAATAAAATAAAATAAGAATTAAATTATTTTTCATGGCATCACCAATTAGAAAAAAAATGTAATACTTAGGAAGGAATAATTTGGTTCTAATTATTTAGCATAATATTTTTATACTTTTAATCATAAAAAAACGCTGTAGATTATTTCGTAATGGTTTATTATTTCCAAAAAATTATACATCTAAAGTTACATTACCTTACTAGTTACAAAGAAAAATAAAAAAAAGGTGATTCCAATTACTGGACTAAACTTTTTTTTTAGTAATATGCTAAAAAAAAAAATAGTATTACTTTAGTAACACATTCAAAATTTAAAAACCAAACAAAGCATACAACTTTTTATTGATACGCTATATAATTCTACGTTTTGACCATACTAAGGGTCATTTTCAAGTCCTTGATAAGTCCTCCGTTATATATTCATCATTAATGTCGCAAATAATATGTTTAGTGAACATTAAATTGGCATGGTCTATAGAGGTTTCACCTATGTCATTTCTGGAGGGACAGTCCCGGACGACTTATCAAGGATTTGAAAATGACCCTTAGTATGGTCGAAACGTAGAATTAAATAGCGTATCAATAAAATGTTTGGTGATAATTGGCCTAATTTATTTAAATATAAAACCTCAAGACACCAAAATTAGGATAAATGAACAGAAGAAAGGATATAACATTTCCAGTAGAACATAAAAAAAAAAAACCGGAGACCATATCTTTGCTGATAATTATCCGATTTTAACGATTTTTTTTAAAGGAAATTTCGTTAACTTTTAAAAAACTATATAAAATATTTACAAAAAAGTGTAAACTTTTTAAGTTATTCGGAATTTAATTTTACCTTCCCTCGTAACTTTTTTCCCCGCTTATATTCCTTGTTTTGCGTTATATAGATAAATTTAAAGGGCCTCGAAAAAAAATCACTTTAGCGAAGTTTCATTGAAATCGGTGTCTTCGTTTAGGAGCAACAGTCTATAGCAACGCAGGTTTTTCGGCCGCCATTTTAAAGTAAAAGGCTGATAGTAATGTCGATAAAGGAGGATCATCCTCGGGTAACCTCTGATTTTACATCAAAATTTGAAAAAAAAAATCGGTCCAGTAGTTTCGGAGAAAATGCGTGGACGGCGGACGGCGGACAGCAAAAAATTTTATATTCTTTTTTCGAATTCTATGTATCCTGAAACGTGAAATCTCAAAATTTTGAGAGGAGGTTAATTTTTTTAATTTTTTGGTCGATCACGAAAGATTAACTTATCTTTAAAGATTTTTAGAATCAAGGAACATATATATACATAAGTAAGTAAAAATAAAAATAAAAGTAAAATGAACATCATAGATACAAGCATACCTATATTCACTACTTACATTCAGCCAGGGACACTATGAACCAATCTTGTCCCCGTCGTGGAGGGAAAGCAAGACTAAGGAGATCCCTGCGCTTCTTCCTCAGCCACTTCACTGGTATTTAAAACCAACAGAGGATGAGTAAGAGGGCTATAGCCGCAGATACTCATGACTTGAAGGGAGAATCTGGCTATTGCTTGAACTTCAATATATCCATATTTACAAAAGATCTTGGAGCCACTGCCACTTTAACCTACGAGGGGGATTGTATGGATAAGTGGTGCTAACTTTATTAATTAAAGTTTGATTTATAATTTTACTTAAAATCCAGCATTGTTTATCTCAGTGTTGATTGGCAGATATAATAATAATAATAATAATGTAAATTTAATTCCTTATGTAAATCGTGAGATTTAATTTTGGAAAATTACAGTTTTGACATCTCCCTCCATAGGCTCTCTTCTAGGTTACTTCAGTGTTGTTTGGTAAATCTTTTGAAACATAAAGCAGTTTCAAATAGACCAATCTTTGCCTATTAAACCACCCCTCACTTAATTAAAACGTTCTTCTCGCTCTCAGCTTTCATATGAAGGATGGTGTTCAACGATTCGGTACCTCGGAATTTATTGTTGGGCCAGTTGAGGTTGGCACACCTAGCAAATTGGCACCTTTTGGGTGTGAGGCCATTAATTCCAACTCTCACATGGACTAATAATAAAGCAGACGTGATTCAAATACTAGAGCCTGGTACGCCATTCATCTCGTACACCGACAATTCAGCCTACTAATTAATAATCACTTAAGAGTATTACTTAAAATATTAAAGATGATCAACATATCTCCAAACATAAATCTCTCGAGGTCCGATTCATATTCATGTATTTCAACTGAGCTTCTTAGTAGGTCTGCCTTCTTAAGACGTGTGACTGTGTTCTCAGGCTCGATATGAATATCATCAACAATAAATTTGGAATCGGTTATTGATTTATAACGTTTTTATGCAAACAAGCATTGTTGTTTCACCAGTGATTTTCTCTGGCCTACATTTTAGAAATTTTAGATTTATTCAAGCTCTAAAAATACTATAGGACGTAGTGTTTTATTTAGGTGATTGATAAAAGTTTATAGCACATTGAAGATTTTGAGTCTACATTTAGTATTATATTATTGCCAAATCCTAGGAAGCAGGTAACAGCATTATTGAAAACATAAGTCCTCATAAATACTGGCTGCAGGTAATAAATTTAAAAAACCAGTAAAAACCAGACCTTGAAATGAGAGTTTAATATATATTTTTAATCTTCTTCGATGACACTGTATTTTGTTTTTAATATTTCATTTTATTATTTATTCATCATCATTAAATTGAACATTTTCTCCTATGCAGGTTTCCAATTAAAGGTTTTATAAAACTTTTAATTTTAGAAAACTTTAACTTAATTATGCTTTTAAAGTAATAGGTTATTTTAAAGTAGATGCTTGAGTAATAAGAATTAATCATTTCTTCCAAAATAGTTATATCTATAATTTATGCCTAATAACTTATTATCTTTCAATTAACATAAGTCCAATAATAAAACTAAAACTAATAAAAACTAAAAGAGGTTGGGGTTCTTGTGGGGAAGAGGGAGAGACAAGGAAGAAAATGCACTAAGGAAGAGTGAAAGAAACAGTCCTGGAGAATGAAAGATTATTGGAGTGGAAGGAAGGCAGAAGGTGTGAAGAAGAACAAGAAATGATATTCGCGTGGTCCTTGCTGACCAATTCGTGTAAAAAAATAAATAAATAAAGTAAAATTTATAGACTATACCCAGAGCTTAGTTACGAAAATAGTGCTGTAGAACTTTTCTTTTAAAACATTTCCATCGAAACTGTTTATACGAAACTTACTAAAAAAAGTTACATAAAAGTTTCAATCCCTGGTAATTATAAAACTAACCATATGGAACATTAAAAAAGAAAAAAATGTTTAACAGATAGATAAGTACCTATCAGTATAGTTATGAATATGCTTGCTTTAGTGTAGGTTACCAGTGACGCGGTTGGTCCTACTTATAGATTCTTATAGGTTTAAGTACAACGTAAAATTGGTCAAACAAAATCGTACTGAAAAAACGTGACCATCCTTTTGATTCCGTCTCATTTTACTGGATCTTGTCGATGACGAAAGGAATAAATAATTCTAAATACAGATTCTAGATACAGCGGCAAGTGTCACAAACCTCTGAAGCTAGAACACATTTAAAACTTGGTATCTCAGAAGTCCAATTCTACTGTTCAGCCCTTTTATTCAGAAATAATAAGAGTGACCTAACGAGGAAGAAGTGGAGGTCGGATTATAACATGGACATCGAGAATACCGTTGGTGTAACAGCTACTGGAATAGAAATGATACATTGTAAATCATAAACTATTTCTCTTCCAGGTTAATTCACGACAGTTTTTTTAAAGTAAACTTCTTTGAGTGCGTTTTATATTTTAGCTCCTTGTCTAGCATTAATGACCATTTGCTGTCTTTACTGGACCGTAAGACTAATTCGGTCTGTTCATTATATTTGGAACACCTTGCCTCTCCCAGTATCCCGGATGCCTATGGTCAGGTGCCTGTTGTGCGACATGTGTCTCTACACTTGACTTGACGCGGGTCGTAGTCAGAGTAACGTACAACAAACATTGTCATGAATACCGGTTATTTTTATCAGGCTAGTTTCCCTTAAATGATAAAATCATGACGAAAGTAAAGTAGTTACTTAGATGTTGTAACAAATAATTGTTTAGAATTAAAAAAAAATTAGGAATTCATTCAGATGAACTTATTAGTTCAGCGACTGACGGTAATGTTTTTAGTATTGGTCAATTCCAGAGACAGAGTCACCAGTACTTCATCAGTCGTTTTAAACGTTTTGCATTTTTTTTTTTTACATGTATCGTGGGAGTGGATAAATATAGGGTTTACGGTACATAATAAATTGAAGTATAATTTTCGAGTATTTGGTACTCTTTTTTTTTAAAAAATACATTGATATTTTGTATACTTCGTATAGAGCGTTTCATAATTTCATTGATACTGATTAGAATATCACTAGACATTAAAACCATCCAACGTCCTATAGTAGTGGCGTACCTTAGGGGTGGATGGAGGAAAGAATGTGTCATAGAATCTGCTCCACTTACTAACAATCATTTTATAAATATAACCAAACATAGAACAGTCAGCCAACTTAGGGTAGCCAATTTAACGAAACCTTCATTTTATCTTAATGGAACGGCCTATAAATTAGAAGGAGAAGAAAATTGTACTATATGCAACTTCTAAAAGCCATAAAATTTATATCATTTTTTAATAGAATGTCCAATGTATAAAGAGAACATTACATAGAGAAATATATTACAGAAGACAAAAATTCAATGCTCGGTAATTTGTTAACGATAGAAAATCTCGCAAAGTTAAATGATATATTTTATTTTACAGTAGGGTGTCTTAAAATAAGATCATTCATTATGAATGATTAAATGCCAGCAATATTTATATCGATGTTTATGTTTACCAAAAGACGTTGTTATCTTCGACTAA